TAACCTTCCCAACACTGCCTCCATCTGAGGGCCCAAGAGAGAGTGACTCAGGAGGCATGGGTCACCCTGTGTAATGTCTGCAGGTGGGAGAAGATATCTGCACATCAGTGGAGAAAATCCCTCAGTAGATGGCCAAAAGAGCAGAAGAGTTCATGTGGAAATTGGGGCAGGTCTATGACACACTGGGCCATGTAGCCAGTGAGTTGAGACAGAGAGCCACTGGCAGACAGCAGCAGATCTGCATTCCTACCTGCCAAATTAGGCAAGACCGGAAGGTCACAAACTCTGTAGTTTATGGAGCCCAGTGAAAATGATAAGAACAATTAAAAATAAAAAAAGACTAGAAGCTGCATCACAAAAACCAATCCAAGCTGGCAGAGAAGTAGGGACCAATGGCCAAGAATAACAGACCCACCACCCAGAGGGAAGAGTGATTATTCTGCAGCCTGAGGGTCACAGAAAAGTAAATATTTGGGAACAAGGGTGTGTGCGTGTGAGTCTTTGTTGGTATTATTTGTACCGAGGGGGTATGCAAACATGGCACACAGCCCAGAGCTGTCTTGGTCAAATTGACAGAGAATGTCAGATTTTAACATGTGTGATTTAAAAAAAAAAACAAAAACAAAACAAAACAAACAAAAACACTTATATTGTGTATATTGTGATTGGCATAGTTATAAATAAAAAGTAAGAAAAGCAGTCCTATGTGAATAAGTTGATGAAAATCGCGTTGAAATTAATATTCATGTCATTGAGCTATTAATAAATCCTAGTGAAGAAAAATAGCATAAACTGAATAAATGTGTACGGAAGTATATTCATATTGTGATTTAATATTCATATGTGATAGAATTTTTGATAAATCATGTTCAAGTGCAACATAGAAAAGTAGAGAATGCAATGAAGTGATGTTAATGAAGTAACCTCTGCTCTAGTTATAAGTGGGTGAAAAGTAAAGTAAAGTAAATCATAAGGTATGAAGGTAAGATGCAGTAGGTATGGATATGAGATACCTATTGTGAACAGAAAATTTACAAGGTGGTAGAAAAAATGACCATGTTGGTGGACAACATATATAGAAAACCATCTAAGGTTTTAAGGTAAACCAGCATTTAAGGAGTGGGTGGATACAAAATCAAACCAAAAAGTTATCTTTATTTATGGGGATTTCAACACAGATGTGATAAGTCCAGAAAAACATTAATAGACTGTATCTTAACTAATGAATCAGAAAACAAAATTGCCTTCTAATTAGTGACATCAGTGATCATTGTGCGTTTTTTCCAGTATATGACAACAATCATAGTAACGACAAACAGGAAAATAAATTAAAATAAAACAGGTGAGAACAGAGGAATCCATGAATGCATTTAAAAGTGACCTACTTGAGGGGAAATTTGGAGGTAGTGTATAAGGAAACTGATATTGATAAAGCTTATGAGACATTCTTAGGAAAATTTAAATTATTATATGACAGGCATTGACTAATAAAGCAATACTGCAACAAAGAAAAATATGCAGTTTGCCCATGGATCCCAAAAGGATTGTAAAAAAGAAAAATACCATATGAAATTGAAAAGTATAGAAGCAAAAAGGGGCTGAAAATAAATATAACAAAATGTAAATTAAATAGCATTTTGAGGTTATGTAAAAACAAAAATTGTGCAAATTTATTAGACGTGAAGAAAAACATTAACAGGGATTTGGAAAACATTAAACACCATTATAAAATAGGTCTAGGCATTTAAATTACCCTATGTAATAGGGTATTAATAAGGATACAAATATTAGTGATG